ATTTCCAAAGATGATAACGAAAAAAAAAGAGAAAAAAAAAACACAAAGATGCCTGCTAAGGCATTAGACAAGGCGTTTCCCAATCTAGTTCATCTCATCCCGTTTAAATGAAACACTTGGCTTCAAACCATATCACCGTCCTGACGAATTCTCACACCTTGACCAAGAAAATGTGACTAACAGTGCTGAGTGATAGGGAAGATGAGCAAACCAAGCTCCAGGTATCACACCAAACACTACCCCACCAATCAAACTTTATCTTCCCTCTTCAACATCTCAGTATATCAGCTTCAAATTGGTGCAAGATCACTGAAACCCATGTTCCTGACCTTCAACATAAATTCCACTCAAAAAGAACATGTATACAGAAAGCAGCTTTCTGAGGTACACCACATACTCTTATACCTGGCCCTAATAAAACTTTAAGTGTCAGAGTCATATGGATAGTATAACTCACTTCTGATACTGAGGTATCCAGGAGAAAGAGATAACCAGACTGCAATTGTAAACTAAAAGGAGGGCTGAAGACATGGAATTCCATAAGTCAGTCTAACTGAGTAGGAGGTGTCCCTCATTACTACTCACCCCTACTGTTTCCACTCCAAGAACTACTAGCCCCAAACGTCAATCTATCCCACAACCTTTCAGGGTTTACAATCATTTCAATCACCTCCACTCAAGGCAGTTGCCTTAATTGAAGATCTTAAGTGAGTGGAGGGTTTTTTCCTCAATAAAAAAATGAACTACTTCTAGTTTGATCTATGCTTTATATCTTTTCCAAATGAAAATATCAAAGTACTTGGGCAGTGCTTGGAAAGTGAGTAGGGTTTAATTGAAAAAAACATAGTTCTTTTTTGTGTGCAGACTTTATTTTAAAAGCTCTATTGACCTTTACTAGTGACACCAATAAACATCAGGCACAACTCCCCCTGATAAATAAAATGAATGTTACCAATCCTGGGAAAATCCAAGAAATATACTCCAGGAATGCATGGACATTTGCAGACACATTTCTCTTTCATCCCTGGGATTATTCACTTGTTTACAAGCTAGGATTTATGAAGAGAAATTTATCGATGAAGAGGGTAAGATTTTACCTTGTTTAATACCAAGAGTATGACTTCGCCTTAAATTCCTGGAATCAATGCTTTGTTGATACTGATTAAGCATGGCATTAAAAATTCCGATCAACCCAGTAATAGGTTTTCAGAAGTTTTATGCAACTTACATTTGCTCCAACAATTTCTTTGCACCCAGTTACCTGGTTTTCAACTTTAATGTTTCATGTTCAGTCATCTTTTTTTATCCATGCTATTGACAAAATACCATCCAAGTTTCCCAGTATCTGTTAAGTTGTCTAATAGGATTAATGCACACATATACAAACTTTGCATCTAATATTTTCATCTAAGGTTTTGAATTACAACTTTACTTCTTCCTTAATCAAATTTTGTGAAGGACTGATCCATCCTAGCTTTGTAACTGATTGTGGTATTGTTTCCAAAGTGCAATTCTATTTTAGGACACCCGAGTTAAATATGTATATATCAATAACAACACAACTCCGCCTGGTTTACTATATAGGCATCATAATCCAATTATCTAATAATTCATTTTGCCAGCAAATTCCATTAGGGTCTGCTACTGGATACTGGTTATGCTACTCTTTTCCAAAGTGATAGGTATGTGTGATGGATATGTGCAGTAATTTGCGAAGAGCATTTCACATGGGTCACATAACTCTGGTCATCAGTAAATGAGGATAAGAATCCCTACAAAATATTAATCACTTGTCAGAAGAAATTAGTATAATGTGCCTAACAAGGACTGTCAATGTCATGGAACTGAAGAATATCACTTTCTATGGCTACGCTTTTTGCATGTGGCCTATCAATTAGGTAGTATGTTCTAGAGTTTCTCTGTTAGAAAATGACACCAAATGGTTTGATTTCCAACTAAATATTAACAGAAAATACATTTTATAGTTGCACACTGCATCTAGCACTGCCTGGCATTCTAAAAGAAATGCTTTTACTCCCTGATTCTAATGCAGTGTGCTTTACTTTTTGTCAGGTTAAAAGAAAGTGCATTCTTACTAATTAACAAATTAGGACATGCAACACAGTATAATACTTCTTGACATTGGCATCTGCAGAGGGAGGAAGCATCTCCTTCCATGCCCATTTTCTGGAATCCATATTACCAGTTATGTTTAATGGAAGAGAGATAGTAGTGAGAGGAGAAGACACACCCACTCGCATCCCTCCATCTTGCTCCTCTTCCTAAAAATCATGTCACCAATGCATGTTTGGTGGAGGTATCTTTGGATATCTAATTGTACATAATCGGATAGTGCTGGGAATACATATGAAATACTATAGATTCAGGTAGATGTGAACAGATCAATACTCCAATGTTAAGAACAGGAAGCAAATACACATTACTGGCTTCTAATGTAGATCATATTACTGAACAAAGGGAGTCTCTTGTAAATGAAATCTTTCATAGAAAACATCTTCAAAAGTGTATGTTTACTGCAAGATTTTGCTGCAAGGGTGGATTTATCCCTTTCAAATAATTGCAAGGATAATTTCCCCATACCTCAACTGAATATCAAATATTGCTTTCATAAGAAATGAAAGGATATACAGGAAATGCTTCATTTTCACCCGAAAAAACTGGCCCCAAAGGATACATTGATTCCAACTGACCAGAGAGAAAAGACTGCAGGAGAGTTGGTCCCACAAGATCAAAGGCTTCAATAGCTTAACACACTGCATACAGTTCACACTGATAAAGTAAAACTATAGATTACCAAGTTGGTGAACCCATAAACTAAACCATACCATACACAGATTAGTTAGAAAATCAATTCTCTCATATCCATAACAGGCATATAACTGTTCCCTTGGTGGACATGTAATAGCATTACACGGCAATGACTTTTGTAGTATATCTTCCTCTGTCTCTCTCTTGGCAACAGTGACATTTAGAAAATTTCTTTCTTTCCACTATGGAAAACGCCAAATTTACAAACAGTGCTCTCTTGGCCCAAAATACCCCAACAGACAAGAAAAAAGAAATTGGAAAGAGTGCAGTATAAACCTTGATACTTTTCTGGCTGAGCCAGATTTTAAGTGTAGAGGTGGATGATTTAATCATGTCACATCTTAAATAATTAATACTTTTTAATAACAAATAAATTTGTGACTTCAAAATCTTTCCTCACCTTACAGGTAATCAAATTGCAACAGTGGGGGGATTCTTTAATCTCTGTTACTAAATAATCTTCCCACCTGTGCTTAAAAGCATCATTATCAACTCATCAAGGTGTCAAGTACTTGTGATATAAACTTAAACACCACTACAATACCAATGTGGAGCACCGATTAACCCCCAGAGTCAGAAAATGGATCTGCTGTCAAACACACATGCAACAAACCAAACATTTAAACTGGGTATTTTGTAGATTATGGATTACTACTAGTACATAATTCAATATTGACCGGTCTCAAATTTCACAAAGGAAATCACTTTCTTGATGATAAGAGGATGGAGCACTTGCTTGGAGATATTGCGCAAAGGAAGTTTAGTCGAAAGCAGTATATAGATACAGTGAAGAATAGAGCTGATGGTGTTTTCAAAGTGGTGCATGATTAAGGCAGAAATCTCAGCATGAATAATGCAGTTGACATGCTATTTAACCTTACACAAGAATTCTCATTATTACACTACCAGAATTAATGACGACTATCCATCACTTTGGGGAGTTTGGTTCTGTGCTTCATTCAAACCATCCTCTGTGAACACGTTTTAGTGATTTAACAATTTTGTAAGATGATATAGTATTTCCAGTGCTTTCTTCATATCAGTCAACCAACAAACGACTCTAAAAATCCACCCCCTCCTTTTTTTAAGTGTTAATTTTATCTTGGACATAATAAGCGTAAACATGGTATTTAACTGCTACATGCTCTTCACTGACAGATAAAGACAACACAATACACAGTTGAATGCCTGGACTGAATTTTTCTTATTGGTTAGAATGAAAATCCAAAATCTGACAGCTTGTCTTACAAATGAAAGGGCTTTAAAGCCTTAGTTAATAGAAATCCTTGCAACTTGACTCTTACAAATGCAATTGCCATCAAGCATGTGAAATTCTGCAAAGGTCTGATGCTAAAACACAATCCAAGAAGGGTAAACAGCTGTAGCGAATGATACTAGAGCAATTTCTGGATTGTTAACAGGGAAATCGCTTATTACAATGGTGCCAATAACTAACATTGAACCAGTCATTTCTCAATTTAGTGATGATCAGTCACACTGTCTCATTCAGGGACAGTGCAGGGGAATATCAGCAGAATAAACAGAATGCACGAAACAGACAGGAAATTAAAAATGGGAAAAGCCAAGCATATCCTGCTGTCCAATATTCCCTTGACATTTTGATGGAAACATTTAGCAAACTGCTTCAAATGATGTGTCTGGGAACAAAAAACAGGAAAAGTTGTATGGTCATGTGCTCTTTCCTTTTTATTCTGTCAACAAAATCCCCAACTTTTCAACCTCTTGGGATCGGCCGCACACTGAATGTGATCGTGTTGACTCATATATTTGACTTTCCGGCATGGGCAATAATACAAATGCTGTGTTTCACTGTTATCTTTACTTCAGAAAAACACTAACACCACTTGGATTTTGACACCTGGAGACTGATCCAACTGATGGATCTCAGCGAGGGCCCCCTGTTCCCTCTTCAGTGCTGCTTGGTCATACACAAGTGTGCTGTAGTGCAAGTCCTTGGTAGTCTATTTAAGTCCCCAGAAGTGTGCACCTCCCCCATTCCCGTCAATATTTCCTATAGACTAGTATTGAATCCTGACACAAAGATCCCAAACATTTTCTCCCCCACATCCTTTTTTCTACACTTGAGTTTTGATTTTGGAAAGTGACCCATACAAATTTCTATATCCTTTTTAAGGATAAAATACACTTACATTTTGACTCCAGGTGGCGGGTCCCACACACATTCCCCTGTGGTGAGGTTGGCATACATGTGTTCCTTCGTCCGAGGTTCGATGATCTCCACCCATTCCCATCTGGATTCATATAAAAAATAATAATTATATATTTTTTTTAAAGTTATTTACTTTTTGCCGTGTTAATACAATAACTTCTTCTATATTTAATAATTTTAAAGTAAAATGACTTAAAATGATATGCATATTGGATGCAAAAATACTTTCAAGTTTTTAAATGTTATCAATGGTCATAATATTTAGTAACTATGGATGACTGTCAAACTTTGAAATCAAGTTAACATACAAACTGAAAATGTACACACAAAAAAAGCTCATTTATATTCAGTTTGAAAGATAACAATGATTTATTACTTCAAAATCAGCAAAACGTGGGAAATTCTACATGCTATACACATTCAGCAATAAATTTTACACTCAATCTTAATTTATATAGCAGTGTATATTTTTTGAGATAAGACACATCCTGAATCTGCATAAATATAAGGTGGACAACATGAGTATTATCAAGGTTTCCACTGGTATCTTTTTTTTTTTTAATCTAATTCCACAGCACTCCCCCCTCCCTCAGGTTCAAAATCTTGTAAATCCCTAGGCCATGCAAAACACAAGTAACTAGCATGAAGAGTAGCTATTTCTATCAAGGATAGCTACTCCTATCGAGTGATTCTCCAGTACTCAGCATATTCTGAAGTGTCTTCATATCTTTAGATAAGAGTAAAAGCACTCTAAATGGTTTATTTTAGTCAGTGAAGTAACTTCATTTTCATACCAGCTGTTTGAGGCCATCACTTCCAAAGGTATACACAGGTAGAATGTATAATAGCTTCATCTCTGACCACAATTCATAAATTCAAGTGTTCTATTACTCTATTACATTTTGTAATGGACTGCTGATTACAACCACTACATGATGCTTCTGCATAATAGGCAAAAGAGCCAGAACTTAAAATCTGAGTGATAATCTGTAACTACCATGTACTCCTTATTATGAAAACCAATGTTGTCCTTGGGTTACTTCAGATGGTGTTTTTCTCTTACCAAGCAAAGTTTAAGCTGTATATTAAATGTAATATTCACATTTTTTGTGGCTGGCCACAAACTGATGCCCTGGTTTGAAGGAAAATCTAAACCTAGAACCAGATCACTGCATGAAGTTAAACAGAAACTACTTCTGGAATGGAATGTAAATCAAATAAACAGTACTACATCAATCCATGCCAAGCCACTCTACATCTTCTGAATCGAATCTAAATTAACTTGCCGGAAGACACTGCGATCCAAACTCCAGTAACATCGTCTATTATATCTCAGTGGTAACATAGTGGTCTGCTGTAGCACAGTGGACAGGTAACCCTTCTTCTTGTAATGAATATAAACCTCATATGAGAAACATGGGAGCTTCCTTGCTATCTCCAGCAATTAGTTCAATAATCGGAGCCAGCTTGAGCACTCTCCTCCTAGCAACATGTACATCTCCTCTGTGTTTACTATATACAGCCCAGCTTCCAGAGCAGAGATAGGGGGAACAAAGGGTTCTGCACCAGGGGGCATGGCAGTAGCATAGGGCACACCACACTACCAGCCTTTCATTGTCCAGATAAACACCAACACAGAGATTCCACAATCTTATTCTCTGAATCAGAATTAAAGAATGCTCAGACACAAGGCAGGCTAGACTGTTGATGCTGCATCCTGCCAGTTAGTTTAAAACATCTAGGTTACTCCAATCTCTGTTTCTCCTTGGCAACCTCAGAGCTCCATGCCCCAGCCATCAAAACATACAATCAATTGCCAGTAAGTTTATTCATCTGCCACAGTGTTTTTTGTATTGGCACTCCTTTTTTTCTATTCAAGTAAACTATTCCCTTTTACTAAGATACCTTCAGTTTCATGTTTGTGTTGGCTTCTCCCTGTATTGATGTTTGAATAATAATACTCCAAAACCTCAGTGAAGATCCCTGGAGAGGGTGAACAAAGCCAGTTGTAGTGGTTTCCCAGGAGGAGCTGAGATAGCTGCACAGGTGTGTTGTTCAGGTATTACACAACCCAGGTGGGAGGTCAGGTGAGACAATGGATTACAAAAACAATACTGCACTGTTATTGTAACACTAAAGTACTGGAAATATACCACCTGCTTCTCTACTGTGTATTGCTAACGTAAACGCTGACAAGATCAATGAAAATAAAATAAAATAAAATAAACAGTATTTTACCCTAATTTAAGCTTTTTCACACTGCTAAACCAAACTATGTGACTAGGCTAAAACAATCATATTCAATGAAAACTGCAATCTTTCTCATTGCTACAAGGTGGAACTGAGCACTGAAATGAAGAACATTTTCCCACAAGGGTTTTACTACCTAGTGTACATTCTCCAAGTTTTTTAATAAGGGCAGAATAACATTCAATTCTCTAAAGTGAAGACAATGTTGGGCAGTAATTCCATGTAACTGACCATGTCAACTGACTCTGCTAACTCACAAGCAGTAAAGCAACTGTTTAAGAATCTCATAAATGAAAACATAGAGCTAGTTGACAAGGGTGTCTCTCAAGGGCATTTGATCTCTCAGCAATACACTGCAATTAGTGGTTGTAGGTCAAGATATGCTACAGTATATACTTTCACATCCAATTCATTAATAAAGGCCACCTGTGTCACAGGTAATATGTTTTGCCAAAATCACATCAGAATATAACCTATGTCAATGTATTTTGCAGTAAAAATACTCAAAAAGAAAATGATTTTCCATCAGTGGTGTGAAAGCATGTTCAAGAGAGATTACAGAGACTGTGTCAACAAGTAATATATGAAGAACTCCCAGCTTCATGCCATAATGTATACAGCAGTCTTTGGATCAATACCAGTGAAGAGAACCAATTGATGGTTTTAATAAGTAGGATGAGCAGGAAATGTAATATCAATATAGCTGAGCTTCAATGAATACCAATTCAGTCTTAACTCAGGAACACCAGTGGTTTCGATTCTTCCTTTAAATCAGCTGTACTGATTTTCTGGTTGCACTCCTTCTCAATGAACAGGAGTGATGGGGTCAAGTACGCATCAATGAAAATTACAATGCAGTATGCCAACAAATACTAACAATCCAATTTAGTCATCAAACTCCGTGATGTTAGGCATGGTCAATATTATGGCATTTCCCTTGAAGTTGTGTGCTAAAACTGCAATTGTCATTTGTTGCTTATTGTTTTTTAAAAAGTAATTTTATATGATGGGGTGGGATGGAGATGTCACATTTTTTTCGACCTTGCTAGTGAGTAAAAAAGTGCAATATGTGTTGTTCCCAGATAAGGTAATAGAATAAAGTTTTGCTGTGATAAAATAAGTGCTGTGCAGGCTGCTCTTGTCATCAACAGAAACTCATTAAAAACAACTTTCATTTTCCAAACTTGTTTTCTTTATTTCCTGGTACAGTCAACCTTTAAATCTATAGAAGGGACATTTGCTCAAAAAAAGATTTTAGAAGAATCAAGTTTTCAGCAGTGCTTAAAATAACCACGAGATCAGTAAACATTATCCATTGTGTATGTGTGTGTGGATAGACTTGATGTGATACACCTGACATGGCAGAATAAAAATAACTCCACAAATGAATTGCAGTGGCAAAGCAGGTGACTAGGAGTCAGCCCTTACAATGCTGCCAGTCATGCTTCAGTCCACTAATTTTAATGCAGGTTATTATATCACTGTATATTTTAGGACCTACCACATATTTGACCACAGTCAAATATTTATACTTTTGATGAAATTTCAAGTAGTTAGCAAACACTGATCAAATATTCATTTGTGCTTAAGACAAAGTAATATTTTTTTTTTATATTTGGTTATATTTGGTTAAAGGCCCCTTTTGTCGTGGGTCTGGGTACCTTCCAAAACTCAAACCTATTTATCAAATTTGAGTTTCAAATCCCCTGACACATTTCATTTGCCAGAGTCAACCATACCCATTACTGATGACTGACTAATGAAAATTAAATAAGGCAGAAAATGCAGTTTGGAGACACATTAAGTGCATTCTTAAGTTAATTTATATTATTCCATGATGACACCTGACCATGAAACATTTCAACCATATATCTGTATTTTATATTTGTTAGTTTCAATGCCGTATTTCAATGCCGGCAAACTCATATCGAGTGTATATAACCATTATATGTTCAAACTAATCTATCACTCATAAAACTTGAACATTCTTGATAAACCCTAAACCCTACTGATATGCAATGAAATACAATATCACTGTGGACTTAAAGCTAATAGACAAGGTTCTCCCTCAGCATAAATATACCCACAGCTGTTTTGCAGACCAGTAGATAAAGCCTACCTAAAACACTTAAACTGATATAAATTAATTATATTCTAAAGAAAATTATCATCTTATGAATCATCTTCTCTGAAGAAATAACATCTCGTGAATGTACATGTATGGGTGAGAAGACCCAAAAGTTGAGAGAGAGAGAGAGATGGGGCTATGGAGCTATTCATTAGAAATCCATTTATCCATACCACTATTAACAGTACCAGTTATATATACCATACCGTCAACTTTGAATCAATCACCATTTTACAGCTCCAACATTAACAACATGGCTTCACATGACCATGTGATGACTTTACGACCACAAATAACCAGCCTGACCTTAAAATTTTAAGAGGGGACAAAAAGAAAGGTTCATTCCACTTATCCCACATTGTCACAACTGAACAACAGCTTGTTCTTGAAGCTTAACACTTGTCAATCCATTCCACTACAACAGGATGTTCAAACACTAATAGTCGGGCAACTAAACGTTTTATTGACAGGTGCCTGCGGTCGGAGAGCAAATAACATAACTTGATTGCCATTCCTACGGCGATCAAAACAACTAATATGAAGGAAAACTCCTATTACGTTTGCTAAATGCTTTCACCTACCTTTCCGCCATTTCTTTACACTTCTTCTCAATCAATCTATGAATCAATTCATCGTTTTTGTGCTTGATTAGGTTGTTCGATGTCAGCCGAACTCCGCCATTTTGTTTTATCGAAAGGCGTTGTCACGAGGGCAGCCGAACAATAACGAACTGTTTTTCTGTTAGGTGCATCAATCATTCATTCAATCAACCTGCCTCTACACAATCCATACATATTCTTGCACATATCGTGTTTTTATTGGATATATTTCCAGGCGATTAATCCTCGAAAAGTTGAAATAATATTGGTGCATGTTTGACCTCATACGCATGCTCATTTTACACTTGTACGACTTCCGTTTATGAGACCACTGAGAACAAAAATTGTGAAAAAGGGTGAGCTTTCAGTAACTGTCCATTTTTCAGTATTATTCTTTGGTTAACAATATCACAGATGGTGTAAATATTATTTTTTCTTTCTAGCATATAGTTTTTAATTGGTTATGAGGCTTTTGAAAATATATAAAAATGTTTACAGATTATTGGTACAATTTATTTATTTTTCTGATTCACTTTGTTTGAGTCTGACTGTCGACAAGTGTCGTGTCTATGCGACTTAAGTAGCCCATGGATTGCCCCATATTTAGGTTTCCAGTACTCATCTTTATGAACTGAGTGTGTTGGACATTTTATATTTAAATATTTAAAAGTAAAAAGGGAGGGATAGGAATGCTAGAGGCAGTGGTAGACAAACTATCAAATCATAAAGTAAGATATATTTTAACCCTTATTTTACAGTCGATTAGTGCACTTCCTGGGACCACACTCATTGTCAAGGATCTTAGTTTTGAATCTTTGATACAAGTATTAATAAACTTGACAAAAAAAATCCAGAAGTGGTATTAGTACTTAACCCCCCCCCCCCCCCTCAAATTTTGTCTCAGTTTTTGGCCTTACACGGTATGCAAATATTGCCTCATAACAACTTGTATTAGTAACTCTTGTGGCTATATATGGCATATCTTACAAATGGCATTAAAAAGTGGTAACACTGTTGCAAAGCAGAAATAAAAGACTAAAACATTATCAAACTGGTGAGTGAACTGATGCATAAGGACTTAATTAAGAGTGTTTTTTCAGAACAAAGATATACATATAGCCTTGACTTTGATAAATGCCTCTGCTTTTCAACTTTTCAAAAAGTTTGGCTTTCAAAGTAACTCCATAATTTTTCAATGTTCACAATCACCTCTGAAATTACCTCAGCTGTCATTATACTAGTATGGGCTTGAAGTGTTTTGTAACAACATTGAGTAATGATCAGGAAGATTGGCATTTGCACTTAGGCAGGTTCACCAGACACCCACTTATTGATATTGTGATGCAGAGATCATGTGCAAGATCCCAACCCGATACACACTTGTCTTGGAAAGTAAATTAATAGCTTTATTGAACAGAGTTAGGTCTTGTTTATAAATGCTTGGTGATATAGCATATTTCTGAAACTTATGTACATTGTGTATACCATTGCAGTACTTTTTGTTTTGTGTTATCAGTGAACATATGTTGTACCGTGTACAAGAAAATTCACAGCCTCCAGCTTATTATTGTTTTCAGATGAATATCAATGACAAACAGCCAGAAGATGTTTCCAAAGATGAGTGGATGCAGAAGCTACATAGTCTCCATATCACGAGGGCAGACATGAACAGACTTATTATGAATTATTTAGTAACAGGTAATGGTAAATCAATCACTGCTAATTTTAATCTCTTTTGCTATTTTATTTTTATTTTATTTTTTTATTTTATTAATTTTCTTTGAATTGCAATATATGTCATAGGATCTTGATATGTGCCAGCACTTTATTTAATTGTTTTTATGTGTATGCTGTACTTTATTTAGAAATAAGATACTAAGGCTGTAATACAGTGAATTAGTCCACCACCACATTATTTTCCGTAACTTGTTCTAGAGGGATTTAAAGAGGCAGCAGAGAAGTTCCGTATGGAGTCCGGCCTGCAACCAGAGACTGAACTGGACAGCTTGGACGATAGGATTAGGATAAGAGATGCTATACAGCAGGGCAGGATACAAGAAGCTATTGCCCTGGTCAACAACATTCACCCAGAACTGCTGGACAATGATAGATACCTGTACTTCCATTTACAAGTAAGATCTTGTTATGTACAACAGGTCTCCTGTTTAGATGACTGAGCAATCGTAGTTTTTTGGATCTTAACTTATACTGTAGGTGACCCAGTTAACCTCAAATAGAGGCTGGCTTACTTACTTTTCTATGGTCATCACATTAAGAATATTGGTTAAAATAAAGATGGTCTTAAGTTTAATGATTTTTTTTAATTTATAAATATCTAATGCTGTGTCTTTGGTATTCTTTTTCTGATTGCAGCAACAACATCTTATAGAACTTATCCGTGAAAGAAACATAGAAAATGCATTGGATTATGCACAGACACATTTAGCAGAAAGAGGTGAAGAAAATCCAGAAATTTTAACAGAATTAGAAAGAACTCTTGCCCTTTTGGCATTTGAAGATCCTGAAAGTTCCCCATTTGGGGATCTTTTGCATCCTTCCCAGAGATACCAGGTAAATAAACTGAAGAAAATGTCATAATTTTATAACATTTCAGTATGATTGAATGTGCAGTTTAAAATAATACAAAAAGGCTAATTAATGATCTAAAAAGTGAAAGTCCTTGATTTAAAATGAGAAAATGCATATTAGTTGAGTTAGATTTGTTGTTTTAATTTATTTTATTTACAAAATTGTGTTGGTTTGTTTATAAACAAAAGCTTTTATGTATGATTTCTTTCTTTAATCGTTTAGGTTGCAAGTGAACTTAATGCAGCCATTTTGGAGATGGAAAACAGAGAATCAACTCCAAAACTTGCAAAACTGTTAAAACTTTTGCTATGGGCACAAGATGAACTAGACAAGAAAAAGGTCAAATACCCAAAGATGATAGACCTTGCCAAAGGAGAAATAGATGATGCAAAATAATATTCTCTCAACAGAATTGTTTTATTTGATGTTATTGCATTTGTTCATGCCATCAGCTGTTTTTCTGTCAATGTGGAGAATTTTACACTATACATTTTACACTCTATATTTCACGGGAACAGATATTTTAGAAACAGATTAGCTATCTTATCACTCAAATGTTCAGCCTCATCCAAAAAGCAAATGATATGGGCTATCAAACATCAAGAACAGCATGCCCTCTTGTCAAATATGGTTTACATACAAATGCTCAAATAAAAAACAATGAATAGGGTATGCCCCTTGCTGCAATAGAACCCAAATGAATTAATTTCAATTTTATTTAATTTTTTCATATTTTCTTGAAAATTTCAATACAAATAAACTGTATTGCATTTTTTTAAAGATCATTCATGTTCTATTATATGCATTGCTTTTATTTTCACTTTCAATAAAGATGCAACTTATAAAAATAATGTCATTTTACTAAATGCACATAATAGACTTTTTGGGCACGAGTCTTCAACAGGGCTCTCAGATAGACAATACAAACTTTTAAGACGTCGAAAACTCTAAAAACCGTCCCTTTCCATGAATTTGCACAAGGATTACTGGTGGAATTCACAATAATTGACTTTTTGTATGTGAAATAAACATTAGATCTACCATTAATTGTATAGTTATGATGACTCTGTTTCCTTAGGTTTTTGCATCTTTTTCTGTTCTCTTGGCTGTAGACGCAAAAGGGACATGAAAGTTTTTCATATACAAGGATGTCCTGTTTAAGGGTAGACGGGGAATTTGAAGTGGTTATGCTATGTGAACTTCAAACAAAGATTGTGCCATTGTTCACCTAACACAATGATATCAGATAAAGCAAGTCCGAGTCTTTTAACTTTTAATTATTTACTGCAAAAATGAACTGTGCTATGAATGGCCGAAAACAAGTAATAGTTATTTCTAAAATGAATCAGTTAACAGCAATGTTATTCTTACTCATAAGCTCCACATGGACATCAACATGATCTTTAGCAAATGAAGTGCATGATCTCAACAACCCGCTTGAATTCTGGGATACAATTCCAGAGCGCCATTTTGAAACAGGAAAATGTAAATTCGTATCTAAGCAGTGGTTTACATCAAAATTTAAGGATGTGAAAGTCACTGAAAGCATTAAATTACTCCAAAAGGAATTGAAGTTCAACGAGTTTCATGGCACAGCTTCCAGGAACCTGATAAAATAACCGACATAAGAATTTTTTGCATTGTTTACATCGCCCCAGTCATGTAGACAGAAGGAAATCTGCAGCCGCAATGTCGTGAGTACATTTATAATAATTTTAAGTTACTCGTTTTATCCGTTGAAACTGTTTAAACCATGTCCCTACTATTTACCATGCTTTTTCCCCCAACAGAACCATACGTGAAAGGATGCGGGCTCGCAGGAGAGCCTTGCAGGAGTCGTCTTCTTTGCTTGAAGATCAGGGAAGTGATGTTGAAGCAAGTCCAAGGAGAAACAGACGGGAAAAAGTAAGGGAGGACAGTATTTCTCTTGTAATCTTTTTCCAAGATATTGGGTCGTTTTGTTTCTCTTGAAAAATCAGTGGGTGCTCATTTTGTTTAAACTTGTTTAGCATTGAGATTCTGCCCTTCTTGCTAAATGCATGTACATAGAGTTATATTTTTATTTCCATTTTAAGGATGAAGACATTGAAATGAGTTCATTGAACAAGTCAGAAGAAACTGTGGAGGTATGGTTATTTTCACAAATATAATAACATGTGATAATGTTTAATGTAGTGTAGAGCTTAATTTCAACTATCTACACATGATTTAAATACTGATCGTTAGTCATTATGTGGAAATTAGTATGTTTATTGATTTCTCAGATGCTTGATGAAGTAAGAAATGCAGAGACTCTGATGGACAATTTGTCAAAAAGGAGAAAGGAGAAGCAAAGAGAGGTAGGTGTAGTCAGAATTGCATCAAGATTGTTTTAAATATATATCTTCTATGGTTTTAACAGTTTTTTGAAAAAATATTGACAGATTTTTTTTCATCTGTATTGAAAAGGAAAAGAGAAAACTGGTGAATGCTGATGCTTTTTTCTCTTCCAATCAAATATTCTCATGCATATTTACCAGCTCTCTCGCACCCTGAAAACAGATGAAGACGTGACCCGAGAACTTCACCAGGCCAAGAAAAAGAGCAAGGCCAAGATCAGCCAGTCTGTGCGCCAGGAGATGGAAGCTGAAGGAGAAATGAGTGTGGAGGATGAGATAGAGGAGCTAGGGGACGCTGAGGAGGAACCAGTGGAAGAACTGACCCATGGCGAGACTCCAAGGAGCTCTGCTGGTCCAAGTCCAAGAAGAGGTAAGATGGAACTGTAATCAGGAACCTCGGGTATAGTAACTGGGTCCTGGGGTTCCAAGTTAAATTTGATATATTGTTTAAGATTTTTTCTTGAATATTTGAATGGAGAGAGATGTGTTACAATAAAAGTGAACTTATATTAGGAGATGGGGAGGGACAGGCACAGCTATGTATATGAATTTCAGCTATTATTATTATAGCCATTGTATATTGTGAATATTGTGACCACATTGATAGACCACTCTGTATTTCAGGCTTTGCTGATAGTGTCTCTGGCACTCCTGGAAAGAGTCCAAGATTGGATGCATCACTTTCGCTAAGAGAGAAACTAAGAAATAAAGTGCTCAAAGCAAGGGTAAGGAAATCATTATTTTTCACACAGGCAAAAAGAGGGCAAAGTCTCCTTTATCTTACATTTCAAACTTCTAGGCACAAGTATGAGGAAACTATTCCTTAAATTATAATAGTATTGCCATTAAATGACAGAAAGATATTTCCTTTTCCTACGGTTGTCTATTAATAAACATTTTCTTGCACAATGAAAAAAGATTATTTCCTTACTAAATTACTATGAGATTATTTTTAAAAGTTGAATATGCTTTAAACTAAAATGTGCTAAATTTTCTTGATCTACAGGAACAGGGAGAGTCTGAGGCTTTAGAAGATAGGCCAGGCCGTAGATTGAAAGGTTTACGTGGAAAACCTCTGGCTGGCACCAGGTTTGATGACCCATCTCTGGTAAGTAGTATTCTTGCTTGATTAATACCTTTGACTGCAGGATGTATGTTAATACATAATATATAAGTCATGAGCACAAGTTTTAATACTTTGAAATAAGATAAGGTGCTAAAAACTGTTGAATTATACTTTGTATTTATTTATTTTTTATTTATTTATTTATTTATTTATTTTTTTTCGTACATGCAAAACAATTTGATTTTAGACCTAGCAACAAAAATGGATTTGCGAGCAAAGTTGATTACTGGAAAGTTAAAAATTCTGTTTTCTGAAAGAGCAAGAACATGGTGTAACGCGTTTTCAATTATAATTTTGAGAACTCTCATTTTAGGTGGGTAAAGAGGAACAAGAGGCGGAGGCACAGTTGGAAAAGTCACGCCAGGCAAGGGAGAAGTGGAAGAAAGCTGGACAGGAAGTTCATAAGGTATGTTACTTTCCCATTGCAAAAAAAAATGAAAACAAATAATTTAAAATAGGATCATTGCACTGCCATTTGCAAAAAAAGCCAAAGCTTAAGCTATTCAATTTCTAAACATTAATGTAATTTCAAACCTTTATGGCTGTTAACTGTTAATTTTTTCTTTTAGTTTAAAGATCACTCACATTTTTATTTATTCAAACTTCCAATAATATATGCTGCTTGATATAATTTTAATTTCTCAAACTTTTTTCTTTTTGCCTTTTGCTTTGTTTTATTTGCTTTACAAGTGCTTTGCAATTTGCTTCCACTTTGATTTTAGAGTGAAAAGCCAGCTTATATGTTGAAGGTAAAATGGATAGTTTTTCATTTTGTTCCCAGCACCCATGGTCCCAGATCCAAACCCTGCACTACTATCTTTTCATTTATATTTCGCATACTTGCATCTATCAGTATGGGACAAGTAGTGAAGTGTGCTTGAATTAGAAATCAATGAAGTCACCATTTTGAGGAAGTGTGTGAATGTGTTACCTGGTACCTGGTTATTGTAAAACACATGTTATTAAATAACCCTGCCTTTTCCATCCTTGTGTTTAGATTAAGATTGCATTATTTGTGTTAGAAAAAATGAGAGGTATTGCTTTGAATGAATCACACAGCACATCCCAACCTATTAGAATTTTTCAGAGCACCAGAGTGTAAAATTTGGTCTTGATGGTCACCCAGGGATTGTTTGTATAATTATGATTAATGTATAAAATATTTGTTACAATTTTTACTAAAACAAATTTGGTTGAACTTAGATTGATATTTGTTTTGTAATTCTTGCCTAGTAACAGTGAATCTAGTGCTTTTTAAATCTTAATTGTTGCCTGCAGAACATGGTATATGTTTAATATGTCCATTTGTTGGTCCAGATGAATGAGATTTACTGAGAGTATATTAAAAGAGAAGTGTATCATGATTATGGTGATACTATTGCTATAAACATCAGTTGCAAGTGTGTGTGTGTGTGTGTGTGTGTGTGTGTGTGTGTGTGTGTGTGTGTGTGTGTGTGTGTGTGTGTGTGTGTG